AACAGCAACTGATTCGTTCCTTTTTTGCTTACGTTTTTTGATCTGTTCCCAAATATCTTCATCGATGTCTCCTGGTAAGAAATCTCTTTTCAATAATTTAATTAAAGAATCCCAATCATTAACTTGTGATTTGATGCTGCGATACCACACAAAAGCATCGCCAACAAAAAGTTCTACAGCACTGAGAAATAAGTCATCTGTACTGATTCTTCTGGCATATGCAACTTCTGTAACTCGTTCAATGAAAGGATGTAAAGATTTTGGGTCACCACTAAATTTAATGCCCCATTCTGAAATTTGATTACCTTTACCACAATTAACTATTGGTGCAGCAACATTGACAATCGGGCTTTGTGGTGCCACTACTATTGGAACATTTGTATCTGTTTTTACGCTGTCATCTAAGTCAGCCTCTAATTTCAAACAGGTAGCATAAGCCTCAGCTTGAAATGCCACTAGTTCATCCTTTTGATCATCTGGAACTTTTGAGGGAATATCCAAAATTTTCAACAATCTCTTAACCCTGTTTGTAACATGAGCAATCCTTGATTTGATTCTATTATATGCTGAATCCCTAATGTCACCACTTACACCAAAGTCAATTGTGGATTCAGTAATTAACATGAAAGTCCTAGTAATGTCTGATTGTTCTTTCTGAGAATCAAAAACATATTGCCTCAAATCAACATGAGAACCTGGATTGAGTTTTTCTTTGGCCAACAATTTTCCTAAAATTTTCCTTTTATCAGCAACTGTCCTAGTTGTTCTAGTACCCCTAATCAAAAGTTCATACTCTAGCTCAAAATCTAGGAGATGGTTTGAATGAAAACACTCCACTTCCATTTTACTGTGTGAATACCAAAAGGATTTTAGAATTCGGGGATGATTATTTTTAAAATTTTATACTTACATATATATACAAGGGTGTTAGAGGGCAACTCCAAACTGCGTACGCAGGCAACCGACAATCATCTTCAAAATTTATTTTAGTTACCTGTATAATTGAAATTTGCACTCAGGCAAAAATTGAAAATATCAAACTTATTTGTTCACCCTGTATGAACAAAAAAATGTATTTTTTTTTATATTTGAGTGTGACACACTGCATCCAACTTAAGGAATTATGTATTTATTTATTTAAGTAATTATTTTAAATTAATGTTATTTTTATTTTATTTTTTTTTTTATATTACCCAGATTAAATTAAGATCCAACAAGTGAACACACCACTTATATAAGGAGAAAAAAAATGAGAAAGGGGAATAACCAAACTCTTTTGTCACTGTGTCAAAAGAGTTAAAAAAAAAATAGCAAATACAATGTTCTGATGAGAACAATGAGAATTCATAAAATAAGGCAGCTCCCATGAAAAATTATGCCTATTGTGACACCCTCAATATCACTCTGCATAAACCAGGTTGATTTCAATTTCATTTTATTCTAATTTTTACTTTTTTTTTTTATTTTTTTTATTTTTAATAAAAAAATGCCAAATAGTTTCAGTATTCAAAATTCATTTCAGTGAATATCTCTGCAGCTTCATGTGAATAGGTTGAATTGAGATTTGTTTAATATTTGAAAACAGGTGAAAAATATAATTCTAGTGATGTGAATGAACTTGGCCCCACGCTGAGGGCGCTATTTATGTATAACAGTTTTTTTCTCCCAAAAGGTTATACAGCACGACAGCTCTATGTCAGAAGCACTTGGGCATGGATCTAAGTCTAAAGATGTCTCACCTGTTATTCTCAATTATCTTGGACGCCACTGAATTTTATTTAATCAGAAAAATTCAGAAAAACTTGAGCTAGAATTTGATTAATTTTCACTGCAGGTGTGCTGAGAGATAATCAGTGAAATGAAACAAGATTTCCCATGAAATATCTACAATTTAATATCCCCTCTATGAATGACACTTTACATGAAAATAATATATGCATAAAATATTGAAATATAAGTAACCAATACTATATGATTCAAACCACCAAAGAAAACAATGTCACTTTGACTATGTGACTAGGTCCACAAAGAAACCATGTTGATATGTTAACATATAAATAGTACAACTCAATTTATGATAGATCATTGAATCAAAACATGTCACACATCATGATGTTCAATATAAAATCCGCAGGAAAAATTCATGAATTTTTGCTGTCACATAATATTCAAATGGAGGACAAATAATAATGTTGATATGAATTGAAGTTTAGGGAGTAATTTTTCTTTAAATTCAGCTTCTTAGGGGGAATATGTCAAAGTAGTGGTAAACAAAATAGATATAAAAAAAAATGACATGACTGCATTTCTTACTAATCCATCCTGACAAGTGGCTTGTAGAGATGTCTTGACAGCTGCTGAACCAATTTAACCAATTTATGCAGGGTGACAAATTGGGAATCAGGATTGTTATGCATTGTTAGTTGGTTGGCTGTACAACCAATGCCATCATGGAAAGTGAAGGTGATGACCAGTGAGCTACTGACACAGACTGGTTACTCCAACAGGAGGCACCTTGAAGAATGCCACAGCCTGATGACATGGTCTTGTTAAGATGATCAAGGCAGCAGATATCCTGCAGCATGGAGGTCTTGTCACACTCTCCCAGAAAGCCCTATAAAATTGCATTCATCTCGACCTGCTTTTCTACCTGATGGAAGTGAATGACTTACCCCTGTATATAGGAGGCTCCTATTTTGAAAAAAGGCAGCCGAAACCACCAATAGCATGGACAAAAAAAATTAACCGGCATGGCCGTTGTCTAAAAGGAATGCCAGAATGCATTGGCTCAAGAAACCATGTGAAAACCGTGCACAGCAGTCTATCAGGCACTTACATTAGATTGCACCACTACACTCTACTTCGAGGACTCACAATCCTCATGAAACTTCACTATTTCATGAAGAAATTCAATGGAATTACTTAAAGGCCATCGAAATTATACCGCCTTCCACGAGCCATCAAAAAGAACAAGATGTCACCTTCTTTTCCGGAAATCAATCCTACTCCTTCAGAAAAGTAAATCGAGATCTCGAGCTGAATCGAGTTGAACCGAAAGAAATGCTCCACTTGTCACTTGTCGCTCATTTTTCTAAGTCTTCTTTTTATTTTATTCATAATTTTATTCAATCACGGATGTTTGCTTATTGGTACTCAGGAATCAATATTTTATAAAATAACAAAAAAAGGGTAATTTCCTTATTATCAGGCTAATTATTATGAAACTTTGATTACAAAAATCATTTGCAACGATAGTTACGAGCGCGGCCGACAACACCCGACGTCGGCGACAAGGCATGTACACAGTTTAACCAAAAACGAGAAGAAGAGTGATGTTGGTTGCATAGATTTAGACCATCTAATGAATAATGAAATAAATTGATGGAAATGCAACACAGGACTGACTTTACCTGCCAGTGGCGTTTCATGAATTTTAGTACTGGTAAATAAAAACGCTACAATACCCAAATAAATATAAAAAATAACTTAGCTTTAGACGTTTTGGAAACAAATCTGTTCCCGTTTCCAATGGTTTTTTATTTCTTCTTGCTGCTTTTTTTTGACGAGTTAATGTCCATTGACAATTCACAGTGAAAATTCCAAACTTGATGATTGTGGGTGTTTGGAATTATTTGATAAAAAAACAATAATATTAAATCAACAGGAAACACATTGCTAAGCCTTATTCAGCAGAACATATAACTAAAAATGGTCAGCATATCTGACTAGAAGAATGTGAAAATAGTTGGAATAGAAGAAAAAACAATGATCGACCCAAAGAATCCACATGCATTTTTCTGAATGGAGACAAGAGAATTTTTTTCTTATTCCCGTGATATACATAGAACGTGGTTTTCACTTCTGTGGTAAATTGGTAAATTCAAGATCAAATAATTCCAAACACCCACAATCATAAAGTTTGGAATTGTCACTGTGAATTGTCAATCGACATTAACTCGTCAAGAAACTAGCAACAAGAAGAAATAAAAAACCATTTCATGTTGGAAACGGGAACAGATTTCCTTCCGAAACGTCTAAAGCTAAGTTATTTTTTATATTTATTTGGGTATTCTGTATTTTGAAATTTTCAAATAAAGTGTCACTGACTATATCGATAAATTTATTTTTCAGAAGTTTCAGAAAGTTACATTCTAAACGCAGTGACATTCTGGGAAAGTGATGATTACTCTCTTTCTCATAGATACCTGTCGTAATAATTCATACATTTTCAAAGACAAGGTGATTTGTAAATCGACATAAACTTTTCAACGAAACAAGCAGCAAAATAAAATGAAAAAAACATTTTTCGTTGAAAACGGGAACTGATTCGTACTCAAAACGTCCAAAGCTGAGTTATTTTTATTTTTCATTTCAACATTCTCGAACAGTGTCACTGACTGTTGATAATTTTTTTTTCGAAAGTTCCTGAAAGTTGAATATTCCAAACGCAATGACATTCCAGGAAAGTATTCATCACTCTCTTTTTCATAAATGTCCTAAATATTCATAGATTTTCAGAAACGAGGAGAGAATTGTCTAAAAAGTTGTGTAAAATGAACAAATAACCTTATCGAAGAATATAATACAGACAGTATATTGAATATTCTATGATGATGTTGCCTCCAATTCTTCAAGTAAACAAAACATTCTATGCTTATACCAAAACAAGCCTCAGTGACGTTATTTTAATGTCGAATAATAACCCAATTATTTAAAAATGTATGTAGAAGTCCTTGAAACCATTTAAAAATATTGTGAATAAGAAAGTTGGTATCCATTTTTAGCACACTATCTATAGCAGTGAATCTGAAAGAATTCAAAAGATTTATTCCAAGTACGAGTTTGAAAAAACTCCTAATATATCCTATATTTAGTCCACACTTTGTAGAGCACTAAAATCAGTAAAATCATAATCCCATATGTAATAAATGCTCAGTGGTAATGCCAATATCTGAATTCCAATATAGGATCCTGATTCATGTATTTTTATCTGTTTTTAGTAGTGTCTGAGGTTGAGAAACAGACAAAAGCAAAATATTCAACAAAACAACACTATTGTTATTTCTGCAATACATTGCAAACAAAACTGGCAAGGCACTTAGAGAGGAAACATGCTCAAGAAGTGGAAGTTCAGAAAGCCCTAGTATTTCCTAAAGGTAGTAGCACTTTACTCTTTGCTGGAGGTTCAAAAAGCTCTTAAAACACTCTAAAATGTGCCATCATTCAGTGTAACAGGTAGGTAATTTTGGGGTTGTTGAAAAATAATGTGTGAAATATTATCCCCAGGGGATATTGGAGTTCACTGGTACTACATTTTGGTGAAAGATCTCCCGTGTAGGCAATTTAGAAAATAGCTGTTTGTTTAAATGAAACACCCTGTAAATCATGACATGTATACAAGTGTCACTAACTATCAATACATTTCTCTTTCAGAAATTCTTGGAAGTTATAAATTTTAAACTAAACGCAGTGACATTCTGGGAGAGTATTGAATACTATCCTTATAGTTATCCTTATAATTGATACCTACATTTTTCAGATAGGAATAGAGGGGTTGAGCGAAATCAAAATTGGTGGTATTGAAACTTGCAAATTTATTCTTTATTGCCTACATGGAATTGTTCCTATGTTCAAATGTGATAACTACATAAAAAACATCCAGTTTTGTGTTCTATCTAAGATGGCTACGTTCTATCATATACCTAGTGATGCAAATTGGTTTGGTTGAAAATGTTGCCAATTCTCAGAATTTGTCTGAATTATTCATAAAGAATAGTTTGTTGAAAATAATTAATGTTGTTATGACTTTGTTGTCATTTAGAATCATTCAACGAAATATCAACAATTTAAGGATGCTCAATCCAGTGGTGGAGTCAAAATTTCATGAAAAAAAATCGCTAATGTTATTACGAACTTTTTTAAATGAAGAAGAAATCAAAGTATGCACTGAAAATTGCAGTTATATTTTGCAAATTTATGTAAATGTGAATAATTTGATAATCTCTGATTAAACAAAACACTGATGAGTCTGATGAAAACTGTAGATTCCATATGTATGCTGGGTCACTCTGTATGTATGTATGATGACAAAATTCATGACTACAATACTTGATCCAAAACTGGTTTTCATGTACAAAGAGTAGAACTAACACAAACGCAGGACTATTCTTTAGGAAGGATTAAATAGTATCAATAAGCTACCTGAAGAGGTTGAAAGTTCAGTAACTCCATCCTGCTTCAAGAGAAAAGATGAAATTGTATCTCCTCAATCAATGAAATAGGTACCTAGTAGTCACCAGTGTAGCCAATATCTAATCCGATTGATTCAATTTTATTGTTTGTTCCAGTGGATGATGTATTTGTGTATTATGTAGTATTATTACTTCTTCTTTGTTTCATTTTCATTAGATGAATATAATATACAAGGTGATTGATTGAAACCGTTCATTAGCCGTTTTTGGCGAACCAGGCGACGGATCGATTTGAAAGTTGGGGTGATCACTGTATGTTATAAAATGATATTATGCTATAGGGCAATGAGCCTTCTGGTAGACGCTGTCTCCATACCAAATTTCATCAGCTTAGTAAGTCACATCAATATCAGCTTTTTAGGAAGGTCATGTTCGAAAAAAAAAACAAAAAACAATTATCCTCAGAAAGAATTACAGGTGTTATATATAGTGAAGTTGTTAGGACAATTTCGGGGATTCTAAAAATTATATTAAACAGGATGAGTCAAGTTGAACGCCTCGTACTATAATGGCCAAATGTTAAACTTTCTGAGGAATAATTTCAACCAGGCACATTCATGTCGATATGGACTACATTTTAAAAATGGTTTGATGAATACAGGGTGTCTCAAGAAAAGGTGGCATATCAAAGTTGTACTTTTTTAAATAGAACACCCTATATTTCATTGCATTTCTGAATTCTACGATGAAAAATAAACTAACTTTACTGAAGATTTCCTATACCTAACTCCCACTATTTTCGAGATTTTTCCACTTTTCTCAAAATGTGAGGTATTAAGAAAAGCCTGATATCAGTGAATTGCGATGATTCAAATGTACCAATTTTTGACAGTGTACTCCAAATACTCCTAGCTGAGAGATGCGACATGAGTGGTCGATAGATATCATACAGGGTATTTTATATTGCCAGGTGCACTTCCTGTAACTTTAAACTATAATAACTTGGTTAATTCAAATAGAACACCCAGTATTTTTTTGATCCAAGCATATTCAAGTAATGCAAAATTCAATTCCCTTCCAAACTATACTATATTTCCCTATACTCAAGTCTCATACTTTCCGAGCTATTGCAGTTTCTTTGATAAAATCGAGATAAATGATTAATTTCCATAATAACTATATTTTATCGAGATGGCTGGACTCTAATACTGAATATGAATACGAATCATAACATTCCATCATGTTGATATTTTACTCGTTTATCGATTTTTTTTTTCTTTTGGAGAAAATAAAAGGAGCAAAAGGAATTAATGCAATGTTATTCGAACGATTGCAAAATCAAATAAATTATAATAAATTCTCAAAATGACCATGATCTTCTCGAATACAAAGTCTATCTCTTCAAGGGAGCTTCTGACATTTCTCAGAATACAAAGACTGACTGTCGCAAAGGCATTGCTGATCCTCATTTTTAAATCATAGGGTGTAGTAGGTGGAGTATGATAAAAAATATTCTTAATTTAACCCTATAGGAAAAAATTTATTGACATTGAACAACCAACTGACAGAATAATCAGCTATCTGCCATAAGCTATCTTGATGCTATAATTTGTCTAAAATATTTCAGTACCAGAGACCAGCCATCGCAATAAAATGTAGTTATTATGGAAATTAATCGTTTATCTCGATTTCATCAAAGAAACTGCAATAGCTCGGAAAGTATAAGACTTGAGTATAGGAAAATATAGTTCAGTTCGGAAGGGAATTGAATTTCGCATTACTTGGAACGAAAAAATACTGGGTGTTCTATTTGAATTAACCAAGTTATTATAGTTTGAAGTTACAGTAAGTGCACCTGACAATATAAAACACCCTGTATGATATCTATCGACCACTCATGCCGCATCTCTCAGCTGGGAGTATTCGAAGTACACTGTCAAAATTTGGTAGATTTAAATCATCGCAATTCACTGATATCAAGGTTTTCTTAATACCTTACATTTTGAGAAAAGTGGAAAAATCTCGAAAACTGTGGGGTTAGGTATAGGAAATCTTCAGTAAAGTTAGTTTATTTTTCATCGTAGAATTCAGAAATGCAACGAAATATAGAGTGTTCCCTTTGAAATAGTAATACTTTGAAATGCCACCCTTTCTTGAGACACCCTGTATTCATCAAACCATTTTTAAAATGTAGTCCAGATCGACATGAATGTGCCTGGTTGAAATTATTCCTCAGAAAGTTCACCATTTGGCCACTATAGTATTTCATTTGAAATATCAAAGTTGCTACTACTTTTTGGTAGAAGCGGCAACAACTCATTATCGATGATATAGATAGAACAGGTTCGTTTATGTGATCACCCGAATAACCGCAACTTTCAAAACGATCATTCGCTAGAAATGTCTAATCAACGTTTTCAATCAATCACCTTGTATATGCACTATTCTTAAATCTGTAGGTACAGTGAAAAAAGTTTTAGATTTCCTATACTTAACCTCTATGAGGAATATCAAAAATTCTTGAAATGTTCAGTAAAATAAATGAACACAAGTAAATAAATAAAATACGTCAGACATCCATTCATTTAAGTGAATTTTCATGTATCAATTATGAACGTAGGTGGCAGATATCATCATTCTAAATCATTATCAACAGAGATAGAGTAGATTAAAGAGACTGACTTTCAATCAAGACCACTTCAGTTTTGCTGGGTATCCCTCTGTATTTTATCATTTTTTAATCAGCTTCATTTCCTTGTGGGGGGTATTTTCACTAACAAACTATTGAATAATGTTGCCGTATTACCGACGTCACGTTAAATATACATATGCATTTATATTTCTAGGTTGTATCCGAAGAAGGTCATTATTAGCTGAAATTCAGAAAAAAGGCGATTTCATCTATAGTTCAAGTCATGAGCCCATCAGTGTTAGAAGGTGTCAAACCAAGTCCAACAACAGTGAAAAAATACCATGTCCCTTTTGTAAAGGGTTTTATTCTAAAAAGAACTTACATAATCATGTACGCCTCTCTTGCAAGAGTGAAGAGGTAAAAAAACAAAATGTTCAGACATTGAGTAGAGCCGTATTACCGAAATTGCATAGAAAAGCTTCCGATGCATTAAGAAATAAAATATTCCCTCCCATGAGGGATGATGAAGTAACAAAAGCAATAGCTTATGATGAACTTGTTATAGTTTATGCCAATTTATTGGCTTCTAAATATAGTTCTAGTGATCATCATCACAAAATGATTCGTAACAAACTAAGACATATAGGAAGAATATTACTGGCGATGAAAAAAATCGACTCTTCTATCAAAGATGTAATGTCCATATTTGATGCATCACATTTTGACACTTTCATAAAAGCGGTTCATATTATAGCTGGGTTGAAAGATGGAAGATTCCAGACTCCCAGTTTCGGACCATCATCAGTTACACTTTTTTCACAAATTGGTGATGTATTGCAAGTCGAAGCGATAAAGAAAAAAGATGAGCAACTTGAAAAAGATACACAGAGGTTTTTAAAGCTCCTCACTACCACTTCCAATTCATTGATCAATAAAGTTGCCACAGAAAATAGAACACAGATCCAAAGAACACAGGTTGTCACTTTACCTAAAACTGAAGACGTGAGAAAACTTTTCAGTTGTCTTGATGAAAAATTGAAAAACAATTTAGAAAAGTTGAAGAACAATTTTGAGTTACATTCTTGGATAACACTATCAAAGGTGACACTTGTTAAAGTGATGATATTTAATCGAAAGCGCCCAGGTGATATTGAAAAATCAAAAATCATAGAATTCAATAATCTTCAAATGGTTGATGATGAAATGATGAACCGATTAGATGACAATGAGAAACAATACGCCACTTCGTTTGGTCGCTACATAACTAGAGGAAAATTGGATTCTCCTGCTCCAGTATTAGTATCTAGATTAGATATCCAAGCAATTAATATGATTTTAAAATATAGGGCTCAAGCAAATATTGAAGAAAGAAATCCATACCTGTTTGCATCTCCTATAGGATCTGGTGGACCTTATTACAAGGCTGGTAAAGTTCTATCAGATTTTTGTGTATCTGAAAGACTTAGTACAAACCTTACTGCCACTAAGCTTCGTAAACATTTAGCTACTGTGACTTGCACTCTCCAACAATCAGAACAATCTTTCATAAGTGATTTCATGGGCCATGCCATGCAAATTCATAATAAAATTTATAGACAACGCCCAGTGGTTCAAGATGTAGTTCGAATGGGAAAATTTCTAAATGAAGCAATGGGAATTGAAATTGGCAAACAGCATCCAGCAGTTCAGGGAGCATTACAGATGAAGACATTTCAGAATGACAAAATGGAACACATGGAGAATGTTGGAGTTGCAGAAAAAATTACTCATGTTTGTGAAAATCCTAGTACTGAGTGTGCTGATGAAGATTCAGACTATCAACATAACTTATCAACAATTATGGAAGAATCAACTGATGATGATGATTCAAGAATTGAAGGTGTGATCCGAAGAAAGAATATTTCTAGAAGACCAATGTCTTCAACAAAACAAGGATTACAGTCTGAATGCTTGGAACAACTTTCAAATGAAGCAATGACTGTTCACACAAGAGAAAATGAAGAAAATGTAAGTGTTGCAGAAACATGTTCTTATGATTATAAAAATTCTAGTCCTGGGTGTAGTAATGATGATTCAGACTATCAACCTGACTTATCAACAATTATGGAAGTATCGGTTGATGAAGATGAATCAGAAATAGAAGGTACATTCCACAGAAACAATATTACTAGAAGAAAGAGGCCTTTAAGAAAGCAAAGAATAATTAGAAAAAGGGAGACTTGGACAACACCAGAGCGAAAAGCAGCAAGAGAAGTTTTTAAACATTATTTGAGTCCAAGAAACGATGCACAACCTAGTCTTGAAACTTGCCAGGAGTTCATCCATGGGAATAAAAACCTACAAAATAGAGCACCTAATCAAATTCGTGCTTGGGTTATTTGTGAAAAACGGCGAATGAATCGTGAGTATCATGCACTATTCACATATCCAAAGAAAGCTCTGCTTAAGCTCACACTGAATATTTCAGAATGCATATTTTCTATCAGTAAATCATTTATTTTAGTTTCTTCCTCCAGCAAATGTCTGTTTAACAGTTCTGATTTGGTTATTGGCGAGGCCATGCATCTTCATTGAGAATATCAATTTGTGACTATCCAACTATTGATGTATTGAAAATTATTTCAAATTTTATAATTTTCTCTGAAACGTATTTTCACTTGAATGTAAGTTATTGACTTTCAGGAAGCAGTACAATAAAACATGGTTGGAAGACCCCAGAAAAAGAATTGTGCAGAACACATTTCAAGAAATATTATTTGACTGAATCCTATCCCAATAAACAAGAACTCCAAGAGGCAATCGACAAGTACAAAGAGTTGCAGCACACAGATGTTGATAAATTGAGAAGTCATTTACAGCACGACTTCAAATATCTGAAAAGGAAGAAGGATTTGAATTTATAATTCTGCAAACCCTTTCCTTGTAATTGAAATACTTCGATATTGATTCATTCAAATAGTGGTTGAAAAACGGCAGTATTTATATTGATTCCATATGAACAGGGTGGCTGGAATTCAAGCTTCATCATTGGATCTCGTAAACCATAAGAGATACAGGGACTGTTAAATCATGGCAAAGTTGCGCAATTTGATGTCTAGAAAAATGCTGTTTTGAAACTTGGGAGATTCCGAATACTTTGTGAGATCGAAAAAAACCGAAATTTCCTGAAACTATTTTAAATTTTTTTGAGGTAATTTGAAATAAAAATATCAAAATGAATGACACTTTATTATGGCAACTTTTTCTTTCCGACAAGATGGCGTTCTCGAAATGGAAATCCGACGTTTTGTCTTCCAGAAACCACCATCATCTTCCTTTTTTGTATTTGGACATGAATTTTTCATTTATTTTTTCAGCTTCAAAGCAATGATCTATCACGAATTTCGATTTCCGAGTGTTTCGATGACGAAAATTGGCATAATATTAAAAAAAAGAAAATATGCCTATTTTTCTCATCAAAACATTTGAGAATCAAAATTTGGAATAGTTCATTGTTTTATGGCTATCCAAAGATTACAAGAAATGAAATGTATTCTCCTTGTTCCTATTAAAAAAAATAAGTTCATAGTTTCTGGAAGACAAACCATGGGATTTCAAATTTGGAAACTGCATCTTGTACTCAAAACGGCATTTGTGAGACATTGAATTGAGCAACTTTGCCATAATTCAACTGACCCTGTATCTCTTACGGTATACATGATCCCAATGAGCTCAAATTCTAGCCACCCCGTACAAAATCAATTGAAAATGAATGAAATCTAAATACTGCACCAGTAACACTACATTGTTTTACCACTAACCAAACCGATTTTTTATCACCTTGACACGTGTTTTGCTAAATATGTTAGCATCCTCAGGAGAGAATCAAAAAAGAGTTTTCCATAGAATTGAAAAAGAGTTTCAATTATCTCCTGAGGATGCTAACATAGTTAGCGGAACACGTGTCGAGGTGATAAAAAATCGGTTTGGTTAGTAGTAAAACAGTGTAGTGTTATCATCGTGCCAAGGTTCCAGTCTTCGATATATACTGCAATAGTATTAAGAAAAAGCTGAATTCGTGCTATGTTCAGTAGAGATATACAAGAGATCAGATTTCAAGGCACAAACTGAAATGGATGATAGATCTCACCATTTCAATAAAAATTGTTCAAATAAACATGAGTCTGACCTTGATCAGTAGCGGAGCTTCAAGAGGTCAAAGTTTGATTATTTTTTTCTATTTATTGAAATATATCTCGCTCACTTTTTAAGATATCAATTTGTAATTTGATGTGATCAATTATTCTTCTCAGAAGATCATTTCAAGAATTCTGGAGATTTTCAAAATTTACAGGATGATACGTATTTGGGGGTAGAGGCTTCTTCATCACCCCAAAACTTTTAGGTAGTACGCCCCTGACATTTTACAGTTACCAAATTGGGTGGATCATTCAATTTAGAGGCTTTTATGGCTTTTCAATTTTATTCGAGAAACGAACCGTTTTCGAGATAGATTAGCATATCCGTTCTAAAACATGGTAATTTTGCCTGTTCTGCTTGAATTTTATTCTAGGTCAAAATTCATTACAAATGCAATGAAATTTACTAAATTGCAATGTTCTTAAGCATAAGTTCAATCTGGATCAGTAGCGGGGAAAACTGGTTCGATTGTTGAAATTTTGTTAACTTTTATGCCACTGTAAAAAGTCAAATGTTTCAGAACGAAAATGCTCATTTATCTCGAAAACGGTTCCTTGCTCTAAAAAATTTCAGAAGCCAAAAAAGCCTCTGAATTGTCCAATCCACACATGAGGTAACTGGAAGATGTCAGAGGCGTACTACGAATGGGGGGATAAAAGAGCCTCAACCTTCAAAGACTCATCACTCTGTAGATTTCAGAAATCTTTGAAATTCCCAAAATGATGATCTCCTGAGAATTATCAACCACACGTAATTTCAAATTGATATCTTCAAAAGTAAGCGAGAAATTTTGATACTGATCGAGATCGGAATAATGATTATGTAAACTTTCTTTATTAATAATGATGAGATCTATCACTCATTTCAGTATGTGGCTCAAAACCTGAATCACCCTGTTGATTGAATAATGTTTATCTGAATTTCCAATATCTCTCTGGATATTATAGTTGTATGTAATTCCATAAGTAGTAATTGTTGCAAAATATTTAAACAGATACTATGGAGTCAGCTAGACAATGATTTTCAAATTCACAAGTAAACTATAGAACTTGCCAAAAAACATACCAAGGTTTTTCCATTTTCAAATTCTTCATTCGAATTAAGTCTACAATATTTGCTTTATGTACAGGGTGGGCAAAATTGGTCGTTTTCACTGGATATCTCGATAACTAAAGGACCTATCGAAAAACCGATTTACATGTTACAGGTTCGATTTTGGAGAAACCTTGAATGGCATGATTGAAATTTTGATATCTCCATTCGTTTCACAGATACAGGGGGTAATTGAAAAATTGCCGATTTCGTTTTTATTTTCTGCGTACTTCATGGTGAGGGATATTGAAAAAATTCAAACGTTTATCTATACACTATGAAGCGTAGAATCTATTGGAATCATCAGAAATTTTATACAGGGTGACATTAAAATGATCAGGCAGCCAATTATGTTTCATCTTATGGAACACCCTGTATATTTTGGCACAGTTAGAAAGTCCCAGGCATTCCAATTCTTCTTCCACAACGTCAGAAATATTTGCAAAAATATATTCGGTGTCACAATTCTCATGGTTGCACCCTCGTATCTTCTGTAATAATCATTGAGGTAGGATTCAGAAATTCGCAACTGTGTGAGAGATACCAATGATACACTCAAGGACCAAATGGGATAATCTCAATTGATAACACTGCTCGCCAGCACCTATGGATTAAATAGGTCTCTATATTTATACTTTTATTTGTGAAATGTCGGTGATTCCATAGCTGCGGTGTTATCACTGGACATGATCCCAGTTGGTTCTTGAGTGTATCATTGGTGTCTCTCTCACAGTTGCGAATTCCTGAATCCTACCTCTTTTTTTTTATCGCTTGGTTATCTGAAATTGAAACGTCTGGGCCTTTCTGACTGTCCCAAAATATACAGGGTGTTCCATAAGAAAAAACTTGATTGGCTGCCGTATCTTTTTGATGTCACCCTGTATAAAATGTTTACTGGTACCAATGGATTCTACGCATCATACTGTAAAGATAAAAGTTTGAATTTTTCCAATATCTCTCATCGTAAAGTTCTAAGAAGTTGAAAACGAAATCGGCGATTTTTCAATTTCAATTTCTCTGAAATGAATGACGATATCAAAATTTGAATCGTGCCATTTGAGGTTTCTCAAAAATCGAACCCATGACATGTATATCGGTTTTTCGATAACTCCTTTAGTTATAGAGATAACCCGTGAATACGCCCAATTTTGCCCACCCTGTACAGGATTATTATTAATTCCACGAATATTGGTAATTTTGTGGATTTCTAATACATTTTATTCATGCTGAAAATTATTTCCAAGAAAATTTTTCCTCATGTGTTTATTCAACATCAAATTTTATTGAACTGTTTGACTGTTTTGAATTAGTAATACATACATTGTCGTGGACCAATAGTGCGACAAAGCGAGATAGCAGCTCTGCTATTAGAGATGGAAAAAATAAAAATTTCACAGGAGTTGTAGGTCCAATAGATGCATATTTTAAATTTGTTTTTCCATTATACAGTGTGTCTCAAAAAAATGTGACATCAAACTTATGTTTTCTTAAATAGAACAATGTGTATTTTATTGCATTTTTATATTCTCCCTGAAGAGCTGATTTCGTCGGTCTAGCAGGAATGATTACCGAGATATAGGGTGTGTAAAATAAAGATTTTTCAACTTGGAATTTTTTTGTGTGGAAACTATTTATTATTGGTCAAAACGGCTTACAGGTCCCTGTCTCAACTTTTGATTTACTATCTACTGAAATTTAATTGAAACAAATACAGGATGATGCGGAATACCGAATTATGCACCACCCCTGTATTTGTTTCAATCAAATGTTAGCAGATAGTAAATCAAAAGTTATAATAAATATTTTCCACACAAAAATTCCCAAAGTTGGAAAATTTCCATTTTCCTCAGCCTATGTCTCGGTTATCACTCCAGCTAGACCCCCAGTGTGATAGGTTATGGAATCAGCTCTTTAGAAAGAATATAAAAATGCAAGGAAATACATACATACAAACATAAAAAAACATAAGTTTGATATGTCACATTTTTTGAGACACACTGTATAATGGAAAATAATTTTGAAATATGCATCTTTGGACCTACAACTCCTGTGAACTTTTTTCTTCCATATCTAATAGCAGAGCTGCTATCTGGCTTTGTCACACTATCGGTCCACCCTGTATTTGGGTTGTCTTATCATTCATGACATGGTATGGTTCCGACTTTGCGACATGGTATTGTTCCGACTTTCAACACTGAATCAAGATTTGTACATTTAATTTAGTTCAGTTAAAAATGATTATTCTTTATTTCGGTTGTACAAATATACTGTAAATTTGAAATACACCGACTTTTGAATTTTAAAATTCGTTTGGATTCACAATATCCAATATTTGCTTTATGTACAGGATTATCTAATTCCAGGAATATTGATGATTTTGTGGATTTCTAATACATTTTATTCATGCTGAAAATTATTTCCAAGGAAATATTTCCCCATATGTTGATTCGATATCAAATTTTATCGAACTTATATGCAGACTATTTCGTATTAGTAAAAGATATTTGTTCGAGTTTATTTATAGATATTTGTGTTGTCTTATTATTCATGCCACATGGTATGGTTTCGACTTTTCGACAATGGTATGGTTCCGACTTTGAACACTGATAAACTGTAATCGTTCATTGTGTTTTATTCGTTTAGTTCAAAATGATCTTTTTTTTGTACAAATGCACTGTAAATTTGAAATACATGTTTCTTATCTGCATAGCATTTTTCATTCGATAATAACTCATTCTAAACATTACCTATACCTACCTTGGATTATTTGCATTAATGGAAATGCATATTTTTTGTCAATACTGAGCCTACTTTCAGTTGTTCAAACCTGCAAAATCAAGGAATTATATACATGGTGTCCATTTGTCCAAGATAAAAATAAACAGCATGGGAATCTCGGAAACCATAATATAGATACGAAGATGGTTAAATTGGATGAAAGTTGCGCATTTTCAAGCCTCACAATATGCTGTCTAGAAAGTTCAGAAATTCCGAGTAGTTCCGGAGATATGCCTAGAAAACCAAAATTTGGCAATTTTGTTTTAATTTTTTTCGAACGTTATTTGAAGAGATGGAAAAGCAAAAGATGCTTTCTCTATAAAATAGCGTTGAGAGATTGTCCCTTGTCCGTACGACGTTTCGTTTCGGAGAAACCATCATCAACTTTGTTTTTTTATATGGCACGGAAAAAAGTACACCCTATATGACGTAACATATTTTATCACGAATGCAGCGACGTAAGCACAATTTGTTTTCTTATGTTTCCATTCAGACAAAATGCTTAATTGCGCAACTTTTTCCCTAGTTGACCTACTGTGTTACTCTTATGGTTACCAAGGTCCCCATACAGTTCATTCTCATATATTTTATAGTAGGTAGGTATGTATGCATAACTTTCCATGAACGAAAATAGAACTAAAATATTTTCTTGTGGCAAGGTGTTTCTTTTGAATGCTAATGCAT